GGGATGTCCCTGTCCCTGCTCAGAAAAATGGAAGCAAAGAATCTGTTAAAGAGATTAGTTTTGTCATCTGGTGCTACCACCAGATTACCAAGCATATCCTGCAACAGCCGCACATTACTTGGTACCTTCTTTTTACCCCCTATGTATTTAAAAAAGGACTTCTTGTTATCTTTTATCTGGGTCGCTAGTCCCAGTTCCATCTTTGCCTTAACCTGCCTAACAGCACTCCTACAATCCCTTCCATTGGGTGTACGCCTCCTTTTTGGCTTTGAGCCATTCCTGGATGCTTTTGGTGAGCCATAGGGGCTTTGGAGCACTCTTGCCCCCTTTGATCTGTGTGGGGATTGTCACCCTTTGGGCTTGGAGGATTGTCTCCTTAAGGAACGACCACTCTTCTTGGACTCCCAACTCCCCTCCCCTCCGGGACCTCAGTGCCTCCCTGACTAGTCTTCTTACTTCATTGAAATCTGCCCTCCTGAAGTCCAGGGCTGCTGCTTTGCTGCAGGCCTTTGTCACCCTGTGCTGGATGGTGAATTCCAGTAGGCGATGATCACTATCGCCCAGGTGGTCAAACACCTGCAGTCCCCTCACCAGGTCGTCACCTGTGGTCAGGACCAGGTCCAACAAGGCATTTCCCCTGGTGGGACTGTGCACCTCCTGGGTTAGATGGAGGTCCTGTAACTCGGTTAGGAACCTACATGAGCGGTCAGACCTGGCTGACTGCTCTTCCTAGCAGATGTCCAGATAGTCACATCCCTTGACTTAACTGCCTCCGCAAGCTGACCTGAGAATTCTCTTCCTCCTGGTTGGATGGCCTGTAGTAGACCCCCACCATTAGGTCTGTTTCCCCCCGACCTCCTTGTATTCTGACCCAGAGCACCTCAGTCTGCCCTACCTCAGACCCAGGGCTGTTTGCTGAGGATGTGTATTGCTCTTTGACGTAGAGCGCCACACCCCAACCTTTCCTCCCTGTTCTACGCCGCCTATACAGCCTATAGCCCTTGATGCTTACCATCCAGTTGTGCATTGGATCCCACCAAGTTTCAGTGAGCCCCACTACGTCTGGGTTTGTGTTAGCTAGCAGGAGGGCAAGTTTCTCCTGCTTCTTCCCCATACTACTAGCATTAGTGTAGAGGCATTTAAGGCCTCCTGAGGGTGTATGTGCCTCCTCCCCAATCCCAGGACTATCTGGGCCCCTGTCTCTTACCTGGGTATTTCTTGTGTTCGTCGCCTGTCTTGGCTGGGCTGTTCTTGTGGGTGTCACTTGGTTCGGTGTTCTGTGGCTCCCTTGGTCCTCTTCCTCCCCCTCCCCTGACAAGCCTAGTTTAAAGCCCACTGAAAGAGAACACATGCTTACCTTTGGAGGAGAGGTGAAGCCCATCCCACCCGAGCATGTCTCTTGTTCTGAAGTATGGGTCATGGTCCAGAAAGCTGAAGCCCGCCGTGAGACATCATTCCCGAAGCCGCAAGTTGACGTCCCAGATGCAGGTCTCATGGCGTCTTCCACATCCGCTCGCTAGAAGGACTGATGAGAAGACCACCTGCACCCCCATCTCCTTCAGCTCGCTCCCCAGAGCTTGATAGTCCTTCATCAGGCAATCTGGACTGCTCCTCATTAGTGCCCACATGGATTAGGACCATGGGGTAGTAATCAGTGGGTCAGATGAGGGCTGGGATCATCTCCGTCATGTTCTGAACTTGCGCTCTGGGCAGACAGTAGACCTCGCATGTCATGGGATCCTGGCGACAGATGGGACCCTTTGTTCCTCTCAGGATGGAGTCACCTATGATGAGTACCTGGTGTCTCTTCTTCCGGGTCAACTTGTCTCCTTCAGCCTGTTCCTTGCATAGAGTGACCTCCTCACCAGAGGTTTCCTCCTCACCATCCTCTTCCTCCAATGTCTCCCAGCAAGCAGCCCTGGCTCTGGAGGGAACCTTCTGCCATTCTGCTGTGGAGGGCACCTCCTGGGGCTCTTCTTCCATTGGTGCATGGCCCTGCAGGGAAAGGAAATATCCATCCATTTCATCCTCTGCTTCCCTGATCCCCCTCAGCCTGCTAACCTCCTCCTGGAGCTCCCTCACCTGCCCCTCCAAGGCCCTAAGGCGGGCGCTTGTGGG